GAGTTACACTCGGCATCACGGTCATGGCGAGACGGATCTCGCGATCGTAGCGTCCGAACAAGGTACGATCCCTCAACTGGCTCGAAGGCTCGGCACACAGGCAATAACACAGCGATAAAAAACAAACATGACCGAAGATGCAACAACTCGACACGGCTGCGGAGTAGCACACTCCATAGCGAGGGGGGGATGGGTAGACCTGCACAAGGGCACGGTGCAGACAGATATAGATAGATCAAGATCACGTATTGTAAGTGTACGAACGAGTATAAGAATGAGCAGGAAGGGGCTTTCGTCGGTGGGGAATGGCGTTCGACTAGAATTTGACTTCGTGGCAAAGATGTGGAGGGCCATAGGCTGTTGTAAATTGTCCCGGAGGGTTGTGGCTTCTTCTGGCCAACTGAGGCCAGCTATGGCCTGCTGTGGCTAGCTGTGGCTTGCTACAGCTCGCTGTGGCTGGCTACGGCTGGCTATAAGTGGCTATGGTTGGCCAAAGGCTGGCTTTGGCTGGCCGAGCATGGTAGCGACTAGCTAAGATGTGCCTACTGCTGTCAAACACAGCAAGGGTTAGTGAAGAAAGCATCCGGCAAGACGGTGGGGCCTTCCTGCTGGTCTAAAGGAGATGCAGGTCTCAATCTCGTATTATGCGGCGTAAATCAGGCAGGCGAGAATATGTCCATGGCGTAGAGCTTGATTTTAGAAAAATGTGGGAACTGGTTTCACATTTTTCTAGGGTCGTATGAATTTATTATGACTTTCCAAAGATTAAATCCATTTTTGAAAATAATAAAGGCTGATTATTTCAGGGCTGACACGTGTCACACTGTGACTGGTTCACGCGGCATGAAGGGACTTGGAGTGGTGTACCAGCTGGTGAAGTGGTCGGGAAGGTCGCCGCGGTGGTCGGAGAGATCGCCGAGGTGGTCGGAGTGGTCGCCGAGGTGGTCGGAGTGGTCGGAGCTGCTCGGCGGAGCTGCTCGGGACGTGATCATGGTTGGCGCGGTCATGGTCGGCGAGGGGAAAATCCCCTTTCCCTTCCCCAACGGGGCTCCCATCGACGGTGAGGTCACCGGCAAGCACCTAGTGCTAGCATCCGATTAGGGTAGGCAATAGCTTTCCCCAAGCCTCGGCAATTGCGACGGTGGGGTCAGGGCGACGGCTAGGGCTTCCTAGGGCTCTGGCCACGGTGAACTGCGGCGTGGGTTCGTCGGCGTGCCTAGACAGGGCTATAGTGATAGCGAGAGCCCAGTTGGAAGAGTGTGTGAGCTCCACGGTGCTTCTACGGCCATGGTGGGCGTGTTGGAGGAGCTCCTGGTACTCCTAGTGGCTCCGGCCATGGTGGTGGGGGCAAAACAGAGGCGGTGGCGCTCCGACGAGGTGCGGTGCGGCAACGCAGGGCTCCGGTGGGCTTCTTCCTCGGCTAAGGTGAGCGCAGTGTGTCTCTCGTCATGGCAGAACCGGTCGGGCGTCAACGTTGCCTTTACCGCAACGTAGAAGACGCGGTGGTCTCGCCATGGTTGTGCTCTCAGCCATGCTGAGCGTGTCCGTGCCTATGCGCTCCTGCTCTGATGTACAACATCATGGCTGAGGTCCTCCTTTTTGGCTGATGGCAGCGCACACGGCGTGTCCTGGGTCTCGGCAAGCGTGGCCACGGCGGTCTCCCTAGCTAACCAGTTGGGCTAGGCTGGAGCTCGAAGCTTCAGCAAGGTTTCGATCATGGCGGTGCATGTTCCATTTGGCTAGGGAGGTGGTCTCAGCAAAATGGCTCACCGTAGGGTTTGTGGTGGTAGGATGGCGGTGCGGTGGCGAGGCGAGGCCGTGATGAGGCGATGCAGTGCCGTGCCGAGCAGCTACGTTGCTGTAGCTGATCGGGGAGGCGCTCTTGTCTCCGGCGAGGTCCTCCCCGCCGCGGCTTCCTCCTCCTCCTTGCTTCGCCCTCCTCCCTCTCTCTCGGCTTGACGCTGTGTGGTGCTGTGCCTCCAGCGGTGGCGGCGAATGGGCTGAGGGTTAGGGCTCACGGTCATTGGCTTTTATAGCCGAGCTCCAGGGGCTCCAATGGCGGACGGCGATCGGATGGTGGTGATATGTGCAGCGCATCCGATGGCTCTCGTGCGGTAGCGTAAGCGCGGCGCAAAGGGGAACAAGGTCATGCGATTTGCGCGACCCTGGGCCCTCACATGCCACGCTGGTTGGCCTCCGGACGCATGGGGAGAATGCGTGGGTGAGGGAAAGAAGACGCCACTATACTAGGCGGCTGACAGAGGGGGCCCGTTTGTCAGCTTGTCCTGATGCGATGGCATGTAGTGCGTGATAGCTGACAAGCGGGGTCGGCTTGTCAGCGGCTGTGCGCGTGCGGGCGGCGATGCTGGGCCGGCTTCGTGGGCTATGCGCGTGAGAAGGGCAGGCGAGGCTCGGCTGAGCTAGCTGGGCCAGTTCACAAGGCCTAGCAGGCCTGGGCTGCTGCTGCTCCCTCTTCTTTCCTTTCTCTTCTTCTTATTTCTATCTTACTCTATGCCATGGGTTGACAACTCGTGCATTGATTTGATAAAGGTAGTTGGTTGATTATAGAAATTAGGTCAACGGGTTCGTGAGAGATTCCAGAAGGAGTCAAAAGGATTCGCTATGAACTTGTGCTCTTCAACACAAAACCCTAAACCAACTAAGGAACTCCAACAAACTCCTACAAGCAACACTATTTGTATGCAACAATTTATTTATAAATTGTTCTTTGTTTGACCTAGTATCTATATGCTTCACACATTTGCATGAAAAGTTTTAAAAAATTCGTATTTTTGGCTTCTAGAAAAATCCGGGTTGTTACACCCGAGGCAGTTCGAGACCTCCGTAGCCTTTGTGAGCTACATCGCCCGGTGGTGGTTTTCTTGTCTGAGACTCGTTTCTTCTCAGATAGGGTGGATGTTTTGTTAAGATCACTTGGTTTTGCGCATGGTTTAGGCGTGGGAACCAATGGAAGAGGTGGCGGACTTGCACTGTTGTGGAAAGATGAAGTTTGTGTAAAGCTCCAAAGTCTTGACAAGCTTCATATAGATGTGGCGGTGCTTGATCCAATGACAAACGGGGAAAAGTGGCGCTTCACTGGTTTCTATGGTGAGGCGAGGAGAGAGTTAAGATATAGGAGTTGGGATTGTCTTAAGATGCTCAAGGGTCGCAGCTCACTGCCATGGCTCTGTGTAGGGGATTTCAATGAGACTTTGCATGCCAACGAGCAATTTGGGGGTGCTGGAAGAAGTGAATGGCAGATGGAGAGTTTCTGAGAAGCAGTAGCAGTGTGTGGCTTCACAGACCTAGGCTTCATTGGTCTACCGTACACATGGGACAACCGGCAAGATGATGCTCACAACATAAAGGTTAGGTTGGACCGGGGGTTGGCAAATGATGACTTTCTTGACTTGTTCCGCGAAGTTAAGGTCTGGCACGTTCAAACGACAATATCAGACCACTGTGCACTGGTGGTAGAATGCTTGGAACACTCCTTGAACAGGAGAAGACGAAAGCGAAATTTTCGCTATGAAAACATGTGGCAGCGTCACCCTTCTTACATGGCTCTTATTCGTGATGCTTGGTCATCGAATGGAGGAGCTACTGGATTGGGAGACATGCACACAAAGCTGAAAGGTGTGCAGTCCTCGCTATAGACCTGGGAGCAGGACGTCTTTGGCTCGGTGCGGAAGGCGTTGGCAACTCTTAGGCGTGAGCTAGAGGAAGTCCGAGGGCAATCGCTGGGCTCGGGACCTTCTAGACACGAGCGACAAATTATGGCGCGGATGTCTGAAATGCTATCAAGAGAAGAAATTATGGAAAGACAGAGAGCGCGTCTTGATTGGCTTAAGGATGGAGATCGCAATACGGCGATGTTTCAAGCCAAGTCACGAGCACGGGCCAAGAGGAATAAAATTATGGCTCTACAAAGAGAAGATGGGTCGATGGCAACGGAGCAGGCGGAAATAGAGGAGATCACTACTAACTACTACCGCCAGCTCTTCTTGGCCCAGGAAGAGTTGTTGCCGGACCTGGTGCTTGATCACGTGCTTCCCAAGGTCTCGACTGAGATGAATGACCGGCTGCTACGGCCCTACTCAGCTACGGAGGTTGAGCAAGCTTTGCAACTTATGAAGCCGAGCAAAGCCCCGGGGCCAGATGGATTTACAACTGGCTTTTACCAGTTACACTGGGATTTGATGGGCAACGAGATCACAACAGCGGTGTTGGATTTGCTCAATGGTGGAGGTATGCCGGATGATATTAACCTTACTACCATTATTTTAATTCCCAAGACAAGAAATCCTCAGGTTATCAAAGAATTTAGACCTATTTCTTTATGTAATGTTCTGTACAAGTTATGCTCAAAGGTTCTAGCTATGAGAATGCGTGAATTCTTAGATGATATTATTGTAGAAGAGCAGAGCGCCTTTGTGCCTGGACGCTTGATAACAGACAATGTACTCATAGCTTATGAGTGCATCCATTATCTAAAAAGGAAGAAAGGGAAATCTGGAGCGTGTGCTATGAAATTGGACATGGCCAAGGCGTATGATCGTGTAGAGTGGGAGTATCTTAGAAGGATCATGCTAAAACTTGGTTTTCATGCTGATTTTGTGAACCGTATTATGAGGTGTGTAACAACAGTTTGTTTCACTATCAAAATCAATGGCGTATTGACTGATACCTTCAGACCATCTAGAGGAATCAGGCAAGGGGACCCCATTTCCCCATACCTATTCTTGCTATGCTCTGAGGGTTTATCTTGTATGCTGAAAGTTGTTGGTCCAGTGTACATATCAAGGGGTATAAGAGTTGGAGTTCACTCCCCTTGGATATCGCACCTGCTCTTTGCAGATGACTGCATAGTATTTTCTGAAGCATCGCAAGGAGGGGCTGACAGACTGGTAGAGATTCTGGACATATATCATCGTGGATCCGGACAGTTGGTAAATCGGGATAAATCAGCCATATTCTTTAGCAAAAACTGTCCTGCGGAGATGAAGCAAGTGGTCAGTCAGAGGCTTGATATCCAAAAGGAAGCCCTGGCTGAACGCTATCTGGGACTACCCACGAAGGCAGGAAGAAAGTTGAGCGACTGTTTTGAATACCTGCCATCCCAGGTGAAAGGTATAATTGAAAGTTGGTGCGGACGTGAGGCAAGTTGTGCAGGTAGAGACGTTTTGATTAAATCAATTGCCCAGGCGGTACCCACTTATTCTATGAGTTGCTTTCTTCTACCTCTCAATATATGCAACAAGATGAGAAGTGTTGTGGCCAATTATTGGTGGGGTAGCTCTGCTGATAACCGGCACATGCATTGGATGAGTTGGGAGCGTCTTAATCAACCGAAACACAAAGGAGGCATGGGTTTTTGGGACATGAGGAGTTTCAACTTGGCAATGCTTGGAAAGCAAGGTTGGCGCCTCATCACGAGACCAAACTCACTTTGTGCGAGAGTTCTTAAAGGGCGCTATTATCATGACACGAAGTTCTTGAGGACTACCCGGAAAAAGCACGCGAGCAGTACGTGGAGGGCAATCCTAGCAGGCCGAGACGTACAACAGCGGGGTCTGATCAGAAGGGTGGTCGATGGAGATTCTACTACTATTTGGGGTGATCGATGGATAGCAGACCACTTTGATGCTAGGCCAATCACACCAAGTGTTGCCGGGCATCCGAATCTGGTTTCTGAACTGCTGACAACTAGCGGATCCTGGAATGTTGAGGCAGTGAGAGCGCTGGTGTTGCCAATTGATGCAGCAGCTATATTGCGACAGCCGCTGGGTCGAGGAGATGGTGAGTTTTGGGCGTGGGAACCAGAGCGTTCTGGGATTTATTCTGTCCACTCGGCATACAAGATTATATACAGGAGGAAATGGGAAGAATCCTTTGGCCATTTACCTAGCTCTTCTGATGATGCTATATGGAAAAAAAATTGGAAGCTGGAGGTCCCTCCCAAAGTTAGAGTGTTCTGGTGGCGTGTTTTGCACGAATTCCTACCGACGAAGCAAATTTTATTCAGAAGGCACATAGAACCGGAGGCCTTCTGTGAGGTCTGTGGGGAGCCATAAGAATCGATCAGCATGTACTCTTGGACCGCATAAAGTGGCGAGGCGATTACGGCAATATACAAGATGGGCAATAGGGTCAAATGACCAAGCTCGAATCTTTGAGGCGTGAAGGTGCTTGATTTGATGTCACAGCTTTGCCCAAGACGAGATCGTGCTCTGATTATGATTGGAATGTGGGCGCTTTGGATGCTGAGGAACCGGCGACGCCATGGAGAGCTGACGATGCCGGTTCAGCAAGCGGTGCTCTGGGCCAAAGATATAGCTTATGATTTATGGCAGCTGAGCTACCAATTTGACAAACCAGCTCCAGCACACAATAGGGATAAATGGAGAAAGCCGGAGGTGGGATGGTCGAAGATTAATACGGATGATCTGCGTTCTCAAGAAAGCAAGCAAGGAGCAACCTTGTCCATTATCGAGAGATGATCAAGGTAGCGTTCTATTCGGCACAAGCAATCTGGTATGAGCGTGGTCTTGATGTTTGCTCCATGGAGGCCTTGGCGTGGGAGGATGGCATGAAGCTTGCTGCCGCATGATGGGTTTACGTCGGGTGGCCTTGGAAACCATCGTCTCGAGTTGTGCAATTGTGGAAGGAGTCACAAAGATCCATCATTGATCCTATTCTGAAGGAGATGGAGGAAATTAGCCTTGTCGTTCAAGAGTTTTCTTTCTCTTTTATTAGTAGAAGTTGTAATAAGGTTGCACATTTGTTAGCTCGTCAGGTTTCTAATTCACATTGCTTGGAGGTGTGGTGTGTTACTCCAGCATGTGTGTATGACTTGATCATGGTTGAGGCTTCGGCCGGCTGATTTATGAAAGGCAAGCAATTCAAAAAAAAAAAAAAGGTCTTGCGTGCATGTGCCGCGCTGTGCTGGGACCAGTATAAATAACATATATGCATGCATGCATATCTTCGCCCCATAGGGGGCCCGGCGCATGCACATAACACCGACCGTCAGAAAACAGTATTGCCGGTACTTATAGTTTGTACGCTTCCAGCTACCGACAAGTGATAGCTGATAAACAGGGAGTGATAATTGAGTTTTGTTGCGTAGCAGAAGGGAAAGATAAAAAAAAAGTGAACATAAGTAGTGGTAAATTCTCTCTCTCCTTGTATCTATTTACTTGATCCCTTGGTCCTAAAAAGATTGCAATTCTAGGATTCGGATTGGTTAAGCTTTTTTAAGTTTGATCAAGTTCATAAAAAATAGTACTCCCTCTGTCCCTGAATAAATAAATTCATAGAGTTATCTTAAGTCAAACTTTTTAAACTTTGACCAAATTTCTAGAAAAAAACCGTTAAGATTTATGATATCAAATTAGTATTATTAGATAGACCATAGAATACATTTTCATAACGTGCTCATTTTATGTCATACATTTTCATAACGTGCTCATTTTCCTATAAAGTTAGTCAAACTTAAGATAGTTTGACTTGCACGGATTCTAGGCGGAAGTGATTTATTTGGGGACGGAGGGCGGTTGTAACACCCCTGGTGTAACGAGCTTGTTTAGCAACGCGATTTAGGCCTAAGTAAAATTTTCGAATCGAGTTTTCTCGCGTTTTAATTTAAAACGTACTTGAGGCGATAAGCGATTCCTGCGTGACTTAGTTTCGTGGACTCAAATCAACACTCAAGTTAAATCACGCCGTGCGTAACGATATTAAGGAATGTCGAACGACGATGTTAGCGAACGGTTTGTCCTATTAGATTAAGCATGAAAAGCAACTTTTATAAATAAAATAAAATCTATTAATAAATATATAGCTCGTGCTATTGAAGTGGAATCGGAGAGCTTGGATCAAAGGCATGTGCGACAGCACGTATTATATTTTTCTAATCCTCCTTGGCTCGTAGCACTTTGAGAAGCCGGCCGACAGGAACATATAAATTGGGAGACTTGTTTTTCCATTGTTTTAGAAAATCGAGATGTGCTTGGCAGAGGTAGCCATGTGCGTAAAGACATTTAAATTCATGCACCATGGTAGCGTAGACCCCTAGCTTCAGCAAATTATCTAAATTTTCCTGTCCCTTCACGTTGTGCGCGCGCAGCGTCGTTCCGGCCACGTTGTGCCTGGCCGCACATGCTGCTGTCCCTTCCTCTGCTTCTGGACGCCCAGCTGCTCACGTCCTGCCAGACCACGTACTCGGCCGAAGCTGTTGTTTTCCTCCTCTGCGTCTGCGGTCGTGTCTTGCATGCATCTCGTCCTCCTCTGTTTGGCCAACCGGGCCACGTGCTCACGGTCGCAGTCGGTCGGACGGTCTTGTCTTCACCTGTCGAGCTCGCTCAAGTCTCCTCGTGTTTTCTCTCGCGTCTATTTTTCCCGCTCCACAGCGCTGCCCTCTCCTTTCTCCTCTCCACGGCGTGCGCATGTGTCCGTGCCCTGCCTCTTCGCGTAAGCAGGCGAGCACGCACAAGTTCCTTGCCCCGCACCGGAGTCGTTGCTCCAGCTCCTGCTCGTCCTTCTCGCTTGCAGCGCTGCTGGCTGCCGAGCCCCGTGGCACTCCTTTTCCTTCCCCGCTCTGGTCCGGCACGCCGTCTTTCTGCTCCCGCGGCTGCCCTCAGTTGCGCGCCACTGCCGTGCTCCCTTTCCTCCGCGTCCGTGCGCCGCGCCCACGTCCTCGCCGTGTCCGGTCCGTGGTCGCCAGAGCCTCCAGCGCCGGTGCCCTCCCTCTGCTGGCTTTGCTAGCCCTCGGCGCGCCCGGCCGGACCGCAGCGTTGGACCACGACAGCCATGGCCGCGCCGCCGTCCGCGCGCGCGAGTTTCCATGCCCGCGTGCCCAAGCCGCCTCTCCAGCCGCGACCCGCATGACCCCGCTGGGCCGTGCCACCACTGCATCCTCGCCGTCGGTTCCCCTGGCGAGCGCTCATGGGCCCGCGTTGCCCGCAGTCGCTCTCACCGCGGAGCCGCCCGGTCTCGCGCGCCGACGCTCATGGCCGGATCTCCTCGCCTTAGCTCGGGCCGAGCTGTGTCCTCCTGCGGGTGCGCCCGGTATCGTGCAAACTCTGAGGTCACCTCCCCACCGCCGTCGTGGAGCGCGCGGCCGGATTTTTGCCGCTGCCGGCCGGACTCCGCTGTGCTCTGTTCGTGGAAGAAGAAAGCAAGGTGAGGAAGGGTATAAATCCAAGAAGAAACGTTCTACAGGGTTCTTTACGTAAATACTTGACCCGTTTAAATAGTGCCTAGGGATCTTGCGTAGAATAGAGGTTAACGCAGGGGCCGTTTTGCATATTTGCCGCGCCTCCAGCCGTCTGGGCCGATCGCCCGCGATTGGGTCTCAGGCCTGCACGCGCTGCTGGGCCTCCAGTGCCTGCGCGCCTGGACTGGCTTATGCCCGCGTCCACTTGGGCCGGACTGCCGCTGCGTGGGCCGCACGCCACTGGACCGCGTGCGTCGTTCAGGCCTGGGCCGAGTACGTTTGACGTCGGCCCATTTCGAATTGTAGAGCAATTTCTAAGTTAGTTTAATAGGTAAACTTGCAAAATTAATATAAAATGGTATAGAAATCCAAAAATGGCGAAACTAGTTTTGTTAATCTCCTAAAATCATGATCTACCTGTTAGTATGGTTGGTTCACATAGTGTGGCATTATTCTTGGAAGCTATATAATTAATTTAAGATACTTAATATTGTAAAATATAAACTTGTAGGGATTTCGTGGTAAATTGGTAATAGCGTTGGATCTGAAATCTTTACAGTAAGTTCCTAGCAATATTAGATACTCACTGTAATTTTTGTAGCTCCATAATAATTAGTTTGCTAAATAGATAATGATGTTCGATTGCGAATAATGATTAAATCGATAGAATGGAATAAGGAAACAACTTAGGTTTATATAACTAAAATAATTATTGAGAAATGATGCCTTATCCGACAACATGTATATGTGGCCTAAGTACGGTCGTCGTAGAACTAGCCCGTTAACTCGAGAGGCGTACATCGTATTTTATGAGTCACGATTGCAGTTGATTAATTACATCTTTGCATTGCATCGCATGCATATCATATAGGTACGATGATGGATCAACAGATCGATCGAAGGATGATTGGGAATCCGAAGATGATGCAATGGGCTTTCTATCCAGTTGATGGTGGATGATCGGAAGATGCAGATACTAACTTTTTAATATATATCTTACCCAGGCAAGCCCCGGTTCATAACCCCTACTTTCTGCAGTTTAAATTATATTTGTGCATTAAGTTTTAAGGAGTTGAATGAAACCCACTTGCATATATATATCTTTATCCTATGAGTCTTACTAGTATGACAGGATCGTGTAGATTGCTATGCTACAGGACTCCGGTAGAAGTCGAGTGATTGCCTGTCACTCGCGAGATATAAGAAATATGCTACTATATGATTATCACCTGGAATATATAAAATGGTGGAAAGGAAAAATGGTGACCGGGCAGGGATGTGGTTTGGGTATTGGTGGGTGTAAGAAGTTGTGTCGCCGCGGAGGCGGGTCATAGCTTGGTTACACCATTTTTCCCTGTCTGGTCGGTTAAGGACCGATCGTTGCATATGACTCTAGGCAGGTCACAGACTTATTATCCCGAGCACATACTTGTGTATGGGCGCTTGGAAGACTTGTTGCTCTCTTGTCGTGGATCCGGCTCTTTCCGGACCGACTGTTAGGGTTTTATTTTGGTGGAGGAGGTCCTTGCACCGCACTGAGTCCGGGACTCAGGGGCGGGGGCTTGGAGTCCCAGTTTGGACGGGGACCTGGACACCCGGGACAGGAGAGTGATGGGTTGGTCCTGCTTGTGCCTGGGGTACAAGCGGGGCGTGTGTTTTCGGGGTACCCAGCTGGGGGCATTGATTCGCGAATCGCCGGGCTATCCGGTACGGCTTGTCTGCGGTTTAGCATCGTAGTAAGAACTGAAAGGTGAAAGATGGAAGATGGACAAAGGAAATCTGATTGCTTACCACTTGCTTGAAAGTAGCATAGGTGCTTACATAGAATGGTTAGTTAATGAACCAATGCGGCTATTATTAAAAATCAAATATAAGGACGCACGCTTAGTAATGCTTTCTGCAAATGCAACCCACAAACCAGATAGCCTTGCATATCCTTGGAGTCTTTTCTTTTCTCCTATCGGGTAAGTCTTGCTGAGTACAATTGAGTACTCAGGGTTTTATTCCCCCTGTTGCAGGTGACAAGTGGACGCTAGAGCTGACCTTTGTGTGTGGATTCCTCCTGGTGGGCTCAGCGAGGATTTCCTTTACGCTGCGATCGTAGTTGTTATTTATAACTCTCACCAAATACTTTTATAAATGAAAGTTTCATAATCTGTTGTCGTAGTTATATATCAATACTTCATCATGTCATTAATAGATGTTTATTTTCGCTGTAACTCTGATCACATGTTTATATTTCGCTGTTTAATTAAATTATTCATAACTCTGATAAGATGATTA